CCCCCCCCCACTCCATCCCTGTCATCATAGCAGTGCTTTGCTGCTGGCTTCACCCCCCACTCCGCCTACACCATCATGGAGGTGCTCTGCACTCTGATTGATTGGTTGTTTCACTAACCAATCAGAGTGCTCCAAGAGCCTTATGGATAGACAGACAGATGGACTAAGTCACTTATTATATAAAAACGTTATTAGACCAACTCAAATAGTTGGAAAAATTCTTCTTTGCAAGCTTTCAGGTACAAATACCCTTTGTCAGGCTGAGGAAGCATCTGCAGTTGGTCTCTGCTCTTCCTGGGTGGAATGAATAGTGAAGAAGCCAGAGGCTGATATAAAAGATATCAGATTGACCTAAAGAACCTTACATCCTACACAGCTACAATCTTTACCTTTAATCCTCTGGGCATTTTAGCCCTAAGCCTAGTTGAGATGCAGTCTTGACTGGAGAGTATTTTCATTTTCCATAGCCCAAATGCTACGTGCATTAAATGCATCTTTATCTAATGAAACCCAACTCAAGGACTCTCAATTCAGACCACCTTTGCAGAAGGCCTGCCATTTTCTCTATTTATGGAGGTACACTATAATAGCTCCCCCACCCCAGCTTTTGCTGGGCACAGTGACCAGTTTAAAAAAAAAAAAAGCGATTGGAGGAGGAAGCACAGAAAGCACCAGAAGTCTGTTCTGAAGTTATATAAACATAAAATACTGTGGTTTCTATTGAATTTCTTAAATGTATGCTTTAATCAGATATGCAGAATGCTACTATTATTGTTATTGGCTTTTGCTTTAATCAGTTTATTGAGGGGTTTAAAGCCATTTTTAGTAATCTCAGTCTGAAGTATTGAAGTATTTCATTGTTAGGAAGGAAAACACAAAGTGTATTTTCTAGCTCTTTTTTAATGTGATGACATAAAGTAGATTTTTTTTTTCCTGGGCATTCCTTAGTACTTACTTTTACCATTTATAAACCCTGTAAATTTAGCCATATAATCTGAGCCTGCTCAGTATAAAACTGACAAAGAACCCCATAAAATGTAGGGATTGGATGTGAAAATAAGGAACATCTGGTGTGAGTTTTTGGCCGCTTATATTTACAGTTGTGTTCAATGTATTTGTTAGTGAATAACAGGTTTAATTTTAAGAAATCAAGATATACTAGTTTGTAGGATTTTTGTTATCAGTTTAGGAAGACTATTATGGTAATGTGTATACTCAACTTTTTTGTGTGTTTTTTTTCATAAATATAAATATTTAACTGCGGGGAAAAATATGGAATATATAGTGTATATTTAGAGCTATGTGTACTGGCCCCATTATAGTTAAAGGTCTGTCAGCATTTCCATTATCAATTCCCATTTTTATGGGGTTATAGCTTGGCTATAAACATTTGCTTCAGGCTGCAACTGGAGTGCAGCATTTCAGAATGTGAAGAAATCCTTCTTACTGGGTTTGGCTCAAATCATTTCAGGCATTTTTACATTGTTGGCTGACTTAAATAATAGGTTCACATTTTTAACCAATTTTTTCTTTACTTTTAGTTACTCAAAAGTATTTTAAGTTTAATGCACAACACTTTTTGTAGGGTTGTAATTTGCTTTATGGGCAAATACTCATGGATAAAATTGGAAAAAAATAGCCAATCCAGTTATATGAAGTTTATCATGATGCATACAGAAGAGGCAATTCTTTAAAAGTACTGTTTTACCCTATTTTGCTATTGATTTTTTAGCTTTCTAAGTAGACTTTGGACAAATAAAATGGACTATACCAATAACAATAACTAAATGAAATATTCAACCAGTATAACTTGTACATCCTGGAAGGTGACCTTTGCTGTACCTAAACTGATCCTTTTGATTAAGAAGTTTGTATTTGAAAAGTTTTCAGGACATATTTCCAAAGGGGTTTTTGTTGTCACTTGTGCCTTTGTGCAAGGCAGTCACGAAGAATATGATTGAATGTGATATGCTTGTGTACACTGTTCTTTTTTTTCCCCCTACAGAAATATCGAATGCTACAAATATTACAGTGTGTGATCACCTAAGTCGCATGATACTGTTTTGTTCACTGATTGTGAATAGTAACATTTCTATTCAGATTCACTTTCTATTTCAATACCCTCATAACTTGTTTGTGTATACTTTGTGTTGATATCACGTTAACTATACACGAGGCCTTGAAGAGATTAGATGCATTTGGGGGAAAAACTATTCAGAGAGATAAGTCATGGGTCATTGAGGACTTCAGAATTTTTTTCTTTCTGATTTTCCACAAAAGAATTCTATTCTAGCTACATAGGTGGATCCTACCATAAAAAGAGGAGTCAAGAATCAGAACATGGAAGAAATGTTATTAGCTTAGCGTTTCTTCCTTTGATTTTTTTTCTTCTTTGCATATGAAGAGTACATACAAGACTTGGGATAAAGAGAGTGGTTAGACTTTTGTACCAGGGCCAGGCTTCTTGCTTGGAGGACTAGTGCATAATAGTACCTCTTTCTACTTGAACCTGGTCAGATTTATCTTGATCAGAATTCAACACTGCTGTTGGGGGTTTTTTTTTAACTGTTTTATACTAATTAATTACTATCAATGATATGTTGAAATCTTATTGACCAAAAGGGTAGTACTATTCATAGGAGTTTTGCTTGGAATGTCTTTTCTGAGCTGATCTTTCAGGCAGTTTAGCCTTTTCTTTCAAACTTCCTTCTCCGACACCCAGTTCTACCAAAATGGTTGCAGGAACTGAAGTGAGGAGAAATTTACTTCATCTGGTTGTGTGTGCCTTTTTGCAGCATAATTACATTTGTTTCATTGCTATAAGCCTGTCCTTGCCCATTTACTATTTTTATCCATCTTCCATTCCTTCAACCTCAGGTCACGTCTAGGTGTCTCTACAGTGGATATACGATATCATTTTAGTTGCTCTAATATTGTTCAATTTTTTTTTAAAGTGAAAAATTGTTGAGACTTGTTTACAAAAAGTCACTATTTTCCAACTATGGTTGTATGGACAGCTTGTATCAAATGAAGTTTTAGCTATGGGTAGGGGACTTAGTGGCTTTCTGTTACTTTTTTGATACATCTAATTCTATCCTAAGAACAGAAACTCAAATGGAATGACTTGCTTCTAAATGAAACACATGTAAACTGCCTAGTTTGGCTTCCATTTACTATTGGATAGGAGCAAGCCATGTGAAACAGTTACTGTGGAGAAGCTGGCACATGACAAATCCACACTCCTTTTAATTGGATACATTGTTTTTGTCTATCCAATACTTGAATACAGTTCTTTGAAACAGGTTGAACAGGAGCTTTCATGGTATTCCTGTTACTGTGGGGCAAGTCTAATAGCTAGATGCATAATATTCAGTGTTAACATACTGATCTTGGTTCAATACAATAT